GGGTCCCGCCCCCCGCAGCAGCTTGGGATCCACTCACCTAGCTGTGTTGTCTCAGTTTATATCCAGGGCTTTGTCGGGGCTGCTGGGACAAAGATCAGCAACAGGTCTGCGGTGTATCCTCAGGTCTCTGGTTCTGAGCTGCAGCCTTTTCCCACCTGTACATTGTTTTTTTGATCTAGCAATCATTGAATGAAATCTTGGCCTTTACTGAACCAGAAATAGAAAGTAGATGCCACTGTTCACAACATTTTTGGTGGATTTTATTCATTTTTTTATGTGTTTTTTTTCTTGTTCTCTCTAAAGTGCTCTTTTCCTTTGCTCTTTATCATTCTAACTCTGGGCTTAGTCTCAGCTCTTCTGCAGAACTTTCTTACATCTTTCTAGCTCACATTTCTTCTGAACTTTTGTCTTTATGACATATCCAATTGCATAATCAAATAACTTGATCCTTTATGTTATTGTTTAATAGCTTTGAGTATTTATATGATGCTTTTCTACTGTTACTAAAAGTGATAGAAAGACAGGATTCCAGGTCTGGAAGATACGTTTTCATTTATTCCTCCACAGCATTTCCCTATGAAATAGTTCCCACAGTAGACACTGAGGTCTTCTTTAATGAATTTAATAAAAGTCACCCACTGGATAAATGCCACCACAGTTCTAACTAAAGAGTTTACTTAGCCAGTAGGAGTTTAGCCCTTCCTGTCCTGCCACTGCATGACTAATGACAATTTTCACAAAAAGATGTTTCGTACCTCTTACAGGAACCCTCCATGTGTCACAGACTCTCTCTCCCTGTATATATAAAATATTTTTAAATTTGGAAAATTATAGAAAAGGATGATGCCACATTGACAAGTCAGAGTCAAACATAGAACTTGAGATTTTAAGGAATTTGTTTTTAGTGACACGTTTTACACCACCATAAATACATTTCTGTTTTTTCTTTTAACTACTGTAAATCTAATGTTTGTCACCTCCAGATGGCAGGAACTTTGGGCTTATTTAAGCATCTGGAAAGGCAAAATTAGTACATTAGTTCCAGTGTCACAGAACTCTAAGAGGGTTCTACAGGAAGCTAAGTAGAAGAATACGGGAATCACCAGGCAGACTATGTTGAAGTAGGACATAACAGTTGTTATGTTATGTTCAACAACTACTATAACAACAGTTATTACCTGAAACTATAAGCTCTGCTAGCAATTATTCTCATCTCTCAAAAACCAGATTTTTAAAGTTAACTTTCTTAATTTCAAATGACACTTTAGCTTCCTTTTACCCTTCTCCTTAATCTCATTCTCGCCTACCTGACATGCAAAGAATTTTGGGGTAATTCATTTATTGTACAGGTATGATGAGTGCTATTTTGTGTGCATTTTATGTAGAGGTTACTGTGATATATTTCCTTTTTTCTACATGACTCTATGGTATAAAGAAACATTCATTTGCTTTCTTATACATTTCAGTTTTTTTAGCTACTGCATGTTTATGAAGATACACCTTTACCACTTTTTTGTTGTTGTTGTTTTATGCACTATTTCTATGATAGAAATCTTGAACTTCTTGTCCCAAATAACACTGCGTTAAAAAAAAATACTTGAAGGTTAAGAAATGCATGTGAGTAGGATGGAGTTAGCCTTTAGACTGCCAATTTATTTATAACCTCTAATCGCAATTTGTTTATAATCTCTATGACAAGCCTCTTGCTCAACATTTGGAATTTCTTATCTCCTAGTTCCAAAAGATAAAGCAAAAGCAAAAAAAATCAATGAAATTAGAGTATTGGCAACCACCGAAACATGAGAGATGTCACTACTTATGACCAAGATGATAATTTTCGTAAGAGAAAATTCTTAAACTATTAAATCAATAATTAAAATAAGCCTACTTATCTCATAGAAATATTGATGGATGCCAAGTATCAGCTGCATCTTGTTGAATCTCATTTCTAATCCACTAAGTTATTTATTTCTTCCTTTTCACTTTATATGCTTTTTTTAATTAATAAAATTTTATTGATTCTCCATACTAGGTTATTTTGTGAAGATTTATTTATGATACAGAGCTGAGGTACAGGCCACAGGTGCAGGGTCGGCAAGAGGATTCACCAGAGACAGAGTGGGGAGCAGAACAGCAGATCTAGAAGTATACTGCTGAGGGGAGCAGCCGGTGGGTCAGAAGAGGTTGCCACCATGTGGGTCACCTGGGGTGGGGGTGAGGGCCTGATCAAACTGGCACTGAAGAGGCTGCAACTAACTTGCAGTGCTGTGCTCTAACCTGTTGTGCCACCAGGGAGGGCCCCATGCTAGGTTATTTTATACCAGCAAAGGAAGAGCAGGGGTGGGCACCATGAAGCTCTCTGAATCACAAGCATCTCTCCCACTCTTCAGCCACCCCACCTAGGAAGTTCCAGTTTAGGCAGCAGTTGAGGTGAAAGGCAAAGAAAGTCAGGAAAGCCTGTAAGTGGTAAGTTATATCTTCAAATGAAAGTAAATCTGATATTAAATTGCTTCAATTCAGAAGTCTTGCTCTTCCACATTTTTAAAGAAATCTCCACTGCTGTTTTGATTTTGTTTCCTTGATTTGGGGAACGGTCATTTCCACTAGACCACTCTGGAGGCAAGCCTGGATTAATAGGCAAGTAAAGGAGGGAAATTGTGGAAACGCCACTTTTTAAAGAACCAGGAGAACACAGCCAAAGTCTCCCAGGTACAAAAGGGATGACTACATTGAGTAAGTAACTCTTTTGTGCTCCAAAAAAGGTCCCAAAGAAAAAATTCAATCTAACATACTTGCATTCTCCACTAAAACCTTAGGCATACGCTGGCGGTTCACCAGGAGCGGAAAGGGATCTCGCCCATCATTCCGTTCATGGACCTCTCTAATTTCCACAGTATTATCCATGAGATAGTAATGAATGATGTAGGTCCGACATTCACCAAACATACTGTCTGTATCATCCCAGATTGCATAGAATCGAAGAACCTTTGAGAAATCCAAAATAGTGATTTAAGAATCCTATAAGTAGAGAGTTTAACTAGGCTACTTTGGCATTTATCTATCAGACAATAACAAAAAGATTAAACTATGAAGTAATCTCAGTGGTTAGATAAAAAAGGCAGAAATATTCACTGATGATACAAAAATATCTGAAATTATAAACCAGATGTTAACAGCTGGAAAGTATTAGCTAATAGGCTTATACATTTGTGTTGAGAAAAATTCATTTTGATCCAAGCTATTAGTGGAGAGCTAAGTTAAAAAGTAATGGGTCCTTAATACAGTGACTTATATGTATTAATAAAAGTAAACATGAATGGTTCACATATAAAAACAAAACTTTCACTTATTATGACTTTTTAGATTTATCAACATACATCAATATCAAGAACACATTATTTTGATACATAACAATAATTAGTAGATACACAATTCACATAATGCCCTTAAAAGACTTTGTTAGTACTAGGTAAATTTTTTCTGAACTAAAAAAGGATTAGATTTTTGAGAGCACAAAAGCAGCAAAGAAACACTGAGGGTGATCTCCCCTCCTCTCTTTTCCCTTAGTATAGAAAGAAGACTCAAATCTACTTCTACATACTAGCCCACAGGGAGAGGATAGGAAGGTTGGAACAGAGTTGGAAAATACCCAGAACATTCTGTACTTGTAAATTAATATAAAATTTAAACAAGGCAGCATATGCAATGGGATTTCTGTGAAATTACTATTTTAACAGAAACTTACATATATGCAATAACATTGACATTTCCCAACAATTCATCTAAGGTTTCCCAAAGGATTCTATGAGATTAACTCATACTTGGAAAAAAAATAGTAGTTGGTTGAAAATGTGTGGAAAGCAGATGTAGCTCAGGAATTATTTTTAGATTTGAATGTTTGGTGGAACCCCCAAGACTTAACCCCACAATCTTCTTTTGATCTTCGATAAGGAACTTAAGACATTCCTATGCCTCTAGATGAAAAGCTAAATCATAGATGTAATGTTTCAAAACACACAACCACCAAAGTAGCTTGTGAATAATAAACATAAACCATATTTGGAAATGAGTAAACTTCTGAGATGCCTACTTCACTTACTTGTTTATCAAAGGTGAGAAACTGTTTGAGTTGATCAAAGTCTGAAGGGGTGACATACTTGCGAAGAGGCTGCTTCCGGAGTTCAGTGTAAGGATCAAGAGCCATCTTCTCTGGTGGGTTTAACTCTATTCCTTGACTTTCCAAAAATACCTAAATAATTTATAATTTTAAAACATTCATCTTCTTGAAGCTTTTTAAAAGTAATCAACTGATGGTATAAAGGCAAGCATAACAATTATAGTGCAAGTTGACCACTAGTTTGTATCTTGAGCATGTCTTAGCAGTACTAAGCCTCCAATGGACCCAACTCTACAGCACAGCAATTAACTGGTAATTACCATTCGCAGCCTATATTATAAAATTATTAGGTAATATGCGAGGCTAGTTGGAAAGCACGATAGTAAGGTAACTGGCCCCAAATATCTACTCATATCAATGAACAAGCTGCACAATGTCAGTTACGCTGAAATCAAATCCCGAATTGTCCAAGTCACTTAAAACTAGTATATGATTAACTCTCTCCCCTCCAAAAAAATAGATAGCACAATGGTTATTTTTGATCAGAAGATACTTTAGCAAAACAGGAAAATTAAATCGAATGCTCAGATCTCATCAGGAAAAGTTAAGGAAAAGCACCTGACTGTGACATGATCCTGAAGCTTATTTTGCCAATTATGAGTAAGTAAAACACTATTTTCAGAGTTACTATATCTTTGACTACAACTTGACATTTCCTCTTAAAAACATCAGACTGATGTACCTTTTTTGATCATCAGAGATGGAGAAGATAATTTCATGGAATCTGTATATACATTTTCAAACTGGAAACTAACCTGAATTTTGGGGTTCCTCTGGAAATTGTATGGTTTGCTTCTGGAAAATTCAATAAAAAAATATGCAGAACTGATGGGAAAAATATTTGGATTTTATTAAACTCTGTGCTAATTAGCTGTGATCTTAGCATTTAAAGTTTTGCTGGGCCATTGGCTGCTATCCTTTCAATCTTAAAATATTATGATCTTAACATATATAACAACTGAGTTGGAGATAATGACTAACAATAAAATCTTCCTCTCCCTTGAGAGAATGTTTTAGCATCGTAGGCTCATTGAATGAGGTATTTAATGCGTGTTTTGTTTTTTTCCATTGCTTCTCATAAATGACCAGGCCCTTTGTTAAGCTTACCTTAGGGATTTTGGCAGGAATGTAGAAGCTTTCTAAAGTTGACAAGGACTCTTCTTCCTGTATCTTAGTAAAGTTTAAACTCTTTGAAGAGGCTATTTTAAAGTGTACTAGAAGGGCAAATGAGCATGGAATATCTTTGAAAGCAAGAAGAGGAGGAGAAATTCCTGCAGTCTGGAAAACATACATAGTTTGGTGGGTCTCAAAAGAGCAGATTTCTACATTTGCTCGGCGGGGTAGTCAGACATACATGCCACCAGAAAGGCACATTCAGTTTCAGGGATTCAGAGTCCCAGAACCTTACCTAGCACCAAAGCTTCAGGATGTTGCCCTTGGTCACTGGCCAACTTATGGAACCTGTCTGTATGACAGCTTTAGGACTGGGAGGGTTGTTGCTTCCCTGTTCTTTGAACTTGGAATCTTTGGCAAAGCTTAGAATGAATAGAAATACCAGCCCAGTTGGACAGTTGCTCAAGTAGCCTTTTGAGTTATATTTGAAGAGAGAAAATATTTCTTAAACATCAGTATTTGTGGAGTAGAATTCTAATGGTAAAATGTTCATACATTCTAGATCTCTGATTACTGGAGTTTCATTTTTTTAAATGTGTCCAGAGGACCAGACATTTATTTGGTGCAGGGATGAAGGGATAAGGGATATGTTGGCGAGATATTTAAATGGAAGTGGTTCCTGGTTTAAATCACACAGTAAAGAAAGCTTATCTACTGATAGGTCTAGCCCCAGTGAAAACAGCAAGCTAAGTAAGAAGTACATACATTTTAAAGATGTTTTAGAAGCCAACTTCTAACCTAGCAGAATAGTTATTGAAAATATAGCTCAATTTAATCATCAGCACCTGAAATATACAGCCTTAAATACATATCATTAAAACATTACTCATCACAATTCACAAATTTTGTACTTGCAAATTCACCAACACCTACCTGAAGTTTATTTGTATCCCCCAAATCTATACTCACGTGCTTTTGTGGTCCTTCACAGATAAGCAGGGAATGGTGAAAATTTTGAGTTGTCCAATGAGCACATTAACAGATAGGGTTGAAAAGATGACATTTCAGCTTTCATACTGGGAAAGAGTTCCTTTTGGTGTCTGCTTAGTGCCATTATTTCTCACTTCTGTGTTTTTAATCAGTGATTTTGCTGTTTTAAAATGGCTTGCAAGTGCTGGAGTACTATGTCACAGTGCAAGAAGATTATGATATTTAATCTAAACTGTGGAGATTAAGTAATCCACACCATGTATTGAAAATGGTCAAAAGTGGTAAACTTTATGTATATTCCTCCACTCCCCTAAAATAAAGGCATTATGACATGCCTTCAGGAGAGAATAATTATGTTAGATAAGCATTATTCTGGCATGAACTACACTGCTGTTGGTCATGAATTCAAAGTTAATGAATCAATATATTTAAAATATGGTGTCTTTAAAAAGAAACACACATAAACTAAGGTTTGTATGCATCAAATAATGAAAATGATGTGACCAGAGGCCTGCAGGAACATAACCCTGTGTTTATCTTAGGAGCAATGGTTCAGTATGTTTATTCAGTGTTTGTGGTAATTTTACAGAATATAACTACCACAAATAATGAAAATTGAATATAAATGCCTTACATCAGTTGCCCAGTGATAAACTTGAAAATGTTCAAACAGTCCATAAATACAATTGTAAAATAATTATAGTCATTACATTTCTATAACATTTTCTAAGTTGGTAGAATTCTGAAATTGCCTATGATAAAAAGGCTATCAAAACCTGAAAAATGAGAGCTCAAAACATGTATAATGGGGACAATATCTCAAAAATGATCTAGCTTTCTACCGTCTTTATTCTTTTCGCCATGCTGTGGGATGGTACACATAACACGGGTGCTTTATTTCCTTAAAGCCTCTGTTTACATGTCATCTTATTTGTAGGCTTTCCCTGACTATACCCCCTAAACTCCTCCCTTTACTCGGCTTAGTTTCTTCCATAGCTCTTATAGCATCTGATATAGTATATATATTGTTTGCTTTTTGCAACCGGAAATTTAGAACTTCCCCAAAATCCAGTCTTTATACCTGGGATGTAGGATAGTGCCCAGCACACATCAGACACTCAACATATTTGCTAAATTAATTATTAAATGAAAAAATTTAGTGAGTGGGTCAGTGCAGGGTAAAAATTGATCACATTGGCATTACATAAATGGGATTAAGAACATAAAATAACTGAAAAACTACAGCTTTGCTTCTGGAATTAAAAAAAAAAGTGCTAATTTCCCAGTTTCAACATTTTGTGCTAAAGAAAGGTCATCACCTTGTGTGTGTGTTTGACTTCATTTTATGAGAAGTCAAAATCACACATTTATGAAATAGAAAAAGTAGAGGATTTTCTCAACATAAAAAAAAGCAATTTCTTTGAAAATGACTTTATTTCAGAAATTCTTTAGACAGTAAGTTTTCTTAGAATATAGAAAACCTGACTTATAGAAAACATAAACTGTATCCAAAATTATTATGCTCGTATATGCTAATACAGGTAGAACTATTTTGGTTAATTCTAACTTCAGATAAGCTGTTTAGTGCCTCTTCCATATTTTCTTTAATTATTTAAACATCCTTGTCTTTTTTTTTTTTTCAATATAATATTTCTTTCCTCAGGTACAGTCACCATAGTTTCCTAGCACCAAAGAGCCTGCCATCTTCCACCACATTCCACTGTGCTTCCTCTCTACTCTCAGATCTATGGTCTGCTTTCAAGGATCAGCCTCACAATGTGTCTTTGTCTGATCCTTTGTTTGGTTTCTCTAGATTCCACATATAAGCGAAATGATTCAGTATTTATCTTTTCCCTTCTGGTTCACTTCACTCACTTTACTTCCCCATTTCATCCATTCTGAATGCCTCTTCCATCTTTTTATCCCATCAAAGGTGCTACCTGCCCTCCTCTTGAATTGGGATGTCAAAGATTTCTTATCAAATGATTTATCTATGATGGGAGTTCAATGTTATATTTAAATAGCTATATATCAATATTAATGTTAAAAATTAGTATACTACATAGTATTGGCTCATCACATCATTACATACAGATACCAAACTAACACGTATATGATAAATATAGGATAGGTTATCTGTGTCCTTCCTTTACCCTAATAAAATGAAATGTATCCTTTCATGAATTGAATGTTGTTTTAGACACCACAATTTCCAAAATATATACCATACCTGTGTGAATCGGTCACAATCAACAATGTGGAAAGTTTTGCCATATATTGTAATGTTTATCCCTCGATTTAGGTCTTTCCAATGGTAATGGTCTCCACGGTCATTCTTCGCAAGTCGCTGACGTTTAATTAATTTGCCTTGAGGCATCCCAGAGTTTTCCACAATGGGCTCTATGACAGACATGCTATCATCTTCTAGGTAGTAGTAGATAACCACCTGACGGATCCTATAGTGCTCCTCAGTTGACACAGGAACATCTTCCTGGAAATAGGCATCAAATTTCAGCACCTACAACACATAAGAGAGGGAGATAGCATTCTTATATTAGTTTCTCAAAGAAACAGCAAAACTAGTCAACCAGACAGTGAAAACAACAGGGTGGAGTAAAATGAAGGATTCTTGGGGCTATAGTGGTGGGTATGGTGTGGAAATATACCAACATTTGTAGTGATGTGAACTAATAAACCCTAAGAAAAATACAGTGTTGTAAACCAACATTACCTCAATAAACATAATTGGGAAATAATAAAAATTATATCAACAACAAGAAATTAATTAAAAATGAGAAAAAAATCAGTAAAGAGAATTACTAAGGGACATTTGACTACTCATCATCAAAACTGCTGAACTACAGTACATTGCATTCTTTATGTGATGTGGCAAATTGGCTAACACTGGGTAACACTGAAAAAAGTAGTTTTGAGTTTGAAAGTGGAGAGAAGTTAAATGGTGAGTAATCTGACAGGCAAGTGAGGAATAAAGTGCTATTTTTTGCCAGATCACATAAAGAATGCAATGTACTATGGTTTGGCAATTTTGATGATGAGTAGTCAAATGTCCCTGAGTAGTTATCTTTACTGAAGGATACTTTTTTTTTTTATTTTAAAATAATTTCTTCTTGTTGATTTAATTTTTTTTAAAGATTTATTTATTTATTCATACAGAGCTGGAGTACAGGCCAGAGATGCAGAGGGTGAGAGGCTTCACCAGAGACAGAGTGGGGAGCAGAACAGGCAGATCTATGAAGTACGCTGCTGAGGGGAGCAGTGGGCAGGTCAGGAGAGGTCTGCCACGCCATGTGGATCTCCTCCGGGGCAGGTGGGGACCGAACTCATGCGGAAGTAGCTTTTGATTCTCAGTACAGTACTTTAACCCACTGCGCCACCAGTGGGATTTAATTTTTATTATTTCCCAATTACATTTACGGAGGTAATGTTGGTTTACAACACTATATCCACGTGCTGGCCATGAGGTTGGAAGCAGCTTTTCTTTTTTAGGACAGGACAGGTAAGAAGTAGTCACTAGACTATTTGAAATGAAAGTATCATGAAAGTTGAAGATTAAAAAGATGAAAGAACAATGACATCAATGAAAGAGAGGAGTGGGTAAGTTTCTAGTTTATAATAGTTACCACTTTCTAGTTTATAATAGTTATTTATATTCTTTTCAGCAAATATTGAGCCTATCAGTATTTACTTCTTGATAAATGTTAAATGCCTATCCCACTCTTATATTTTTACTCCTCGCCCTGACCTACTGATTTTTCAGTGCCTGTCATAAAAGTAATTGATAATGTTTAGTGCATGTTTAGTTTCAGCCCATGAATGGATACATTAACTTGTTCCTATCAAATGAATAACCAGGCCAGGGAAGAGGGAATAATATGATTCTGGCTAATACATTAATTTTTCTAAATTAAGCAATTATTAATTGAAAGGGGTGGTTTAATCACCAGGTTACTTTGTATCTTCTATTATCTGTCTTTAATAGGTACTCAAAAAAGGTTTACTGGCTGATAAGAATGTTACAGATACATAGCAAAAATAGTAAGATGAAAAGGTAAAAGAGAGAGAGGAGATAAAACATAGGCTAGCAGCAAATTAAGAAAGCTAATTTAAGAACTGGTCAATAGTTCTCAGTTTAAGTCATACAGAAAAGTCATATTTGAAGAAGACTAGGTAACCATAAGTTTTTTAAAAATCCCACCAATGATTGTGCTACATAGTTAAGATTAGGAGTATCTCACCTTAGTGAAAAGAGGAGGCTCACTGACAAGAAAATTAATTGTGCAGAAATGTTAATGAGTGGAAATAAAGTATGATACAAATAAAATGTTACATTACCCTGAACTTATTTTATGTGAAATCTGAAATGTTTCCTGAAAAAGAAAAACTAATTAAGATAGCCTGGAGAAAACTGGCAATAGATGGCATTTTTGTCATAATTATATTTTACATTTGGTAGAGATCAAAGATTTGCTATCATTTCAGAACAGTTGACTTTTAAAAAAGACATAACACGGATCAGGTAAACAATGGAGCAATATAAACTCAGGAATTCAACCATTTTTTTTTTCTTTAATTGTACTTGGAAAATAGTCCAGTGAAATCTATGGGGAATTATTTTCTGTAATAGGCTTCCTGAGTAAAGAATGCCTCTTTCAATCCTCAGTTCAGCTGTCTATGACTAAGGGTTGAGGCATCTGAATAATTTTCCTCAGAACACTCTGGAAAACCTGTGGTTTACTGCTGAATTTTCTGCAAATAGTTGGCTCTCAGAAATTTTAATTCAAGGGGTGCCTTATAATCCCAGATGATACCTTTTTGTCAAAAGCCACATGTGCAGGAATAAATTGTGCAGGTGGGGCCTGCTTAGGTTCACCATACGTTAGAATTGGAGCTTTACTGGCCAACTCATCCAGCTGAGCCTGGGACAGCTGGTTGACAGGGAGACGCTCCCCGCCTATCCCAACAGTTGGACGTCGAGCAATCGCATAGCCATTTCTGTAGCCCAGTGTCTGGCTTCTATGAAAGGCTGTTTTCTAAGGAAAAAAAGGAGTGTATCATTAATAATGTCTTACAAATATTTGTTAGCTAAAAGAGCTAACTTAAAAATACCAAAACTTGGCCCTCCCTGGTGGCGCAGCGGGTTAAAGCACAGCACTGAGAATCTAAAGCCGCTTCCTCATGAGTTCGATTCCCGCCTGCCCCGGAGGAGACCACATGGCGAGCCAGACCTCTCCTGACCCGCCCGCTGCTCCCCTCAGCAGTGTACTTCATAGATCTGCCTGTTCTGCTCCCCACTCTGTCTCTGGTGAAGCCTCTCACCGTCCCTGAGCCTCTGGCCTGTACCCCAGTTCTGTATGAATAAATAAATAAATCTTAAAAAAAAAATACCAAAACTTAATCTTTTGCCTATAAACATCATAAACCTTAAATCAAAAAGTTCACCTGTATTATAAGTTTCTGGTATTTGAAGCTAAAATACATGCCCAGGAACAAAATGGGAAGCAGCAGATTGATTTGAAATAAAATTTAAAGCCCTGTTCCGTAATGATGACCAATTTAACTGCTAGTTCATTTTTCACAAGAAATTAAAATACTATCTCATCTATATGCTTTTATTTTTTTCACTAGTCTTCCTATATTTTTCATTTCATCTGGTTGTGATGAACCGAGGAACCTAGATAACTTGGCTATGAAATTAATTTTTTTATTAAATTAACTTAATCATTACTTATGTGTTGCAGAACTTGAGTACAGGTCAGAGGCGTGAGAGGATTCACCAGAGAGAGAGAGTGGGGAGCAGAACAGACAGATTTACTGAAATACACTGCTAAAGGGAGCAGCAGGTGAGATAGGGACTATACTATATGTGGGTTAGCTCCCTTGCTAAGGATCAAACACAGGTTGTAAAAGTGATAGCTCTGAGACTTAACCCTTAGGCCACAAAGGAGGCCCATGACATGAATTTTTACCAGAAGTGAAGGGAACTCCTTACAGCAACACTGATATATTCATATAAGTCTTTGGAAAGTAAGTATATATTATATATTTAAAGATTAAATTCAATAATTCTACTCTGGTCTTTTATGATATAATCTAATTTCTCAGAAGTGAAAAAGGAGCCATTACAACTAATACCACAGAAATACAAAGAATCATGAGAAACTATGTGAATAAGAATATGCCACCAAACTGGCTGAGCCAGAAGTTCTTAAAAATCATATAATTTACCAAGGCTTAATCATAAAGTAGAAAATTTGAATAGACCAATAAAGAGTAAAGAGATTAAATTAGTAGTAAAAACCTCTGAAAAAAGAAAAGTCCTGAACTAAACAGGTTCACTAGTGAGTTCTACCAAACATTTAAAGAAGAATACCAATTCTTCTCAAACTGTCAAAAACTTAAGAGGAAGGAGCACTCCCCAAATCATTTTAAAATGCCAAAATTACCCTGACACCAAACCCATATTAGGACCTATAAAAAAAGATAATTACATATCAATTCATAATCCTGATGAGTATAGACACAAAAATTCTCTCAAAATATCAACAAGCTGTATTTAATAGTGCATAAAGAGGATCATAAAACATAATCAAGTGCCATTCATCCCTGAGGTATAAGAATGGTTTACCATATGCTAATCAATAAGTGTGATGAGCCACCTCCATAGAGTTAAAAACATATAATAACCTCAATAAATGTGGAAAAAATGTTTCACAAAATATAATGAAATTTCATGATAAAAAAGCCCAACAAATTGGGAATAGACAGAACATACCTCACCACAATAAAAGGCCATATATGACAAACCCACAGCAAACATACTTAATATTGAAAAGTTGAAAGTTTTATCTCTGATGCCACTCTCATTGCTTTAGTCAACATAATACTGAAAGTCCTAATCAGAACAATTAGGCAAGGAAATAAATAAAAGGTATTTGAATTGGAAAGGAGGAAGTAAAATATCCTCTGTCAGTAGATAGCATGGTCAGTTAGTGCAAAATCAACAGACAGAAATCAGTCACAGTTCTAAACAATAGTAAATATCTGAAAAAGAAATAAAGAAAACAATCCCATTCACAGTAGCATAAAAAAAAATGAAATACTTAGGAAGAAACTTAACCAAAGAAGTAAAAGATATGATACTGAAAGCTGTAAGACTTTGATGAAAGAAATTGATAAAGATACAAATAGAAAGATATTCCATGTTCATGGATTAGAATAATTAATATCATTAAAATATCCACTATACCCAAAGTCATCTATGGATTCAATGCAATTCCTACCAAAATTTCAATGGCATATCTTACAGAAATAGAAGATAAACTCCTGAAATATATATGGAGTTGCAAAAAAGTCATTAATAACCAAAGCAATCCTGAGAACAACAAAGCTGTAGGCATCACACTTCCTGAAAAAAACATGGCACTGCAAAAACAGACATATAGACCAATGGAACAAAATTTAAAAGCCCAGAAATAGTCTCCTAAATATATATATATATATATTTATAGTCAATTAATCTTTGACATGGGAGCTAAGAATACAAAACAGGGAAAAGACAACAAATGGTGCAATAAATATCCTTTTTGATGTTTATTCATAAATGGTGCTAGAAAATTAGATAATGAAATTTAGAAGAATGTGGTTCTTACATCATTCACAAAAATTAACTCAAAATTTCTTAAAACTAGAAACACTAAAACTCCTAGGAAAGAACATAAGGCAAAGCTCCTTGACATTGCTTTTGGCAATATATTTATCTCATATGATATCAAAAGCAAAAAATAAGTGGGAGTACATTAAACTAAAAAGCTCTGTACAACCAAAGTAACCATCAACAAACTTAAAAGTCAACCTATGAAATGGGAAAAAATATTTGCAAATCATATATCTGATAATGGGTTAATATCCAAAATATATAAAGAATTCATACAACACAACTTTGTCCAAAGAAAACATAAAACTGGCCAACAGGTACATGAAAATCAGGTATTCAAATATCACGAATAAGAAAATGCAAACAAAAACCATAATGAGGTATCACTTCACACTTGTTAAGATTGGACTATCATCAAAAAGACATCACCTATACATGGAATCTTAAAAAGCCAAGCTCACAGAAACAGAAAATAGAATGGTGGTTACCAGAGAATGGAGAACTTGGAAGGGCACAAACTTCTAGTTTCTTCAATTATAAGATGGTCTAGTTCTGGGAATCTAATGCACAGCATGATGATCACGGCTAACAAACTATATTATATACTTGAAAGATGTTAAGAGAATAGTTCTTGTTTCCACCACAAAAAAAAAATGGTAATTATGTGACAGGAAAATGGTGTTAGCTAATGCTATGATGGTAGTCATTTGGCAAAATATATCAGTCAACAGGTTATATACTTTAAAATTACACAATGTTGTATCAATTATCTTTCAGTAAAGCTGGGAGCAAATGGAAAGGAAAATCAGAGGCTATGTTAATTTGATAGAATATTTTTTCTTTTTCTGCTTTTGGTAATGTTAGGTTACTTTCAAAAGCATACACGTGTATATATATATATATATATATTACACACACACATATAAATAAAACAGTTGGGTTAGTCATAAAATGTATTTATGACAAAACAACTTACCTAACCTTCTAACTTCTTTGAATTTCAACCTACCATCTTTAAAAGACCTGTACTCTTAAATAGAGTGTTGAGGATTATTTGATATAAACTATTTTCTTTGACAGTATTCCCATGTAGTAAAAAGAATTGTTTGAGTGTTCCATAACGAGACATTTAAAGATGATCCCCAGTGAAGTTGGCTGACATGCAGAAGTGCCTATCACTAGTCTTTAGAAGATCTATATGAAGAGTATAATGTGATGCTGAAGGTTTGATAACTAAAACATTTCCTTTTTAATTCAGAAAATCCAAGTGCTTTGCTGAGTGCTATCTAAATTCTGAACTCTGCACTTACAAATGTATAGTAGGTCCCTCCCCGGTGGCAAAATGGGTTATGGTACAGCATGCAAGCTGGCTATAGTCGCCTCAGTGGGAGTTCGATCCCTGTCCCTGAACGTGACCCACATGGCATGGCAGACCTCTCCTGACCCACCTGCTGCTCCCCTCTGCAGTGTACTTCCTCCATCTGCCTGTTCTGCTCCCCACTCTGTCTCTGGTGAATCCTTTCACTGCCTCTGTACCTCTGGCCTGCACCCCAGTTCTATATACATAAATAAGTAAATGAATAAGTGAATCTTCAAAAAAATGTTTTTAATTATCTCAAAAGCAGTTTTCACTAAATTTTAATGTGCTATTGTGCTACAAGTCTTTACAAAGCTTTGAAAAATGAATGTACCCTAGAACCCAGTAAGAGTTACAAAGGTAAATCCATTAACTTGCTGTGAATGATTATGTCTTGTTTGAGGTTTGTAGGGTCTGATTAAAGTCACTATAATTCACAGATTTGCAGGAAATAATTTCCTGACGTGCCTAGAATTCTGCAGCAGTTTGATATTTAAACTACATTGGTATTCTAAGGTCCTTGGTTACTAAGGCTTTCCCTCTTGAATTGTATTTTATTTCACTAGGCCTTTCTCAAACATGAGGATGAGGAATCAAGCTATAAATTTGCATTTGCTGGCTATTATATATCATGTCATCAGTGTGACTACAGACTTCAAAGATAATTCTGTTTTATTCAGTTTCATGTACCAGTGATCAATGATGTGAAACACTTGCTTCAGACACTGCTCCTGATGTTTAGACAAAGACAGGTGCTTACTGCAGTTGTTTTAAAATCTAGTCAAATAGTGAAGTAATGAAATCATAAGCTCCATGAGAATAGGGATCAGATATTTTTCACTCTGGCACTCAAGACACTCAGTAAATATTTGTGGGCATTCAAAGAAAAAGATCTGTAATAATGTAAAAGGTATAGTAAACTTCTTTTGCTAACAGAATGATAACTGACCATGGACTATTTCTGAGGGTCACATGCTCAGGGTCATAAGTCATTATGAGTTGTCCTATTACACAAGAAAGAAAAAAACAGTCTGAGTTGACTTCTTCACTGGGTAACTTGGACAACTTTAAGCTCCTCTTCTTCCACTTCTAATGACCAATTCCTTTCCTGTTTTTAGACTGATCTCTATAATTACTAAACTATATGACCTTACTAATGGATACGCATGGACACCCCTCATGTCTCACCACTCTTTTTTGGTCATTATGTTTGATCTTTTGAAATTCTCATACCAAGTCCTTCAAGTACTGAAGACAGTGACCATAGCTTTTAAATTTCAAATAAGGCAAATTAGTTAATAATTGGCCAGTGTACTTAAAGTATGAAATACGATTTTAACATAATGAAGATCATAAATGATAAACGTGTGACTAACTCATTGGTGAAAAATTGAAAGATTTTTCTTTGAGATTAGGCACAAAGACATTCATTCTCATCACTATTGCTCATCACAGTATTGAAGTCCTCGCTGCAACTATTAGGCAAGAAAAAGAAATAAGATCTGTATTGGGGGGGGGGGAAGCTATAAAGCCATCAGTATTTTCAGACAATATGATGACATACATAGAAAATCCTAAAGGTGCCATTAAAAACAAACAACAAAACTATAGAACAATAGACCAGTACAGTAAGAAGGCAGGCTGCAAAATCCATATGGTCGAAAAATTTGGCTGTGACACCTGAAATCATAAAACGTTTAAGAGAAAACATAGGCAAAACACTCCTCAACATTGCTTTCAGTGATATCTTTCAGGACATGACCATGCAGCAAGGAAACAAAAGTAATATGGAACTACAACAAACTGAAAAGCTCCTGCCTAGCCAAGACAGCTATGGCTGAAATGAAAGGACCCCCTACTGAACAGGAGAAAATATCTGCTCACAATATATCCAATATGGGGCTAATATCCAAGGTCTACAAAGACCTCATACAATTCAACAGCAAGAAATCAACCCAACCAAAAAATGATCAGAAGAGCTAAATAGGCATTTATCCAAAGGAGACATACAGATGGTCAGCAGGCACTTAAGAAAAAAAAAGTTCATGATCATTTATCATTAGGGAGATGCTAATCAAAACCACATTGAGATAGCTCCTCACACTTCTGAGAATGACCCACATCAAAAAGACCAGAAACAATTGTTAGGAAGGATAGGGAGGAAAAGGAACACTCCTTCACTGTTGGTGGGAACATAAGGCTGCCTCCAGCCTGCCTCTAGGGAAAAGAGTATGGAGCATTCTCAAAAGACTAAAAAATAAAGCAACCATGTGACCCAGCAATTCCACGCTTATGTATCTACCTGAAGAATACAAAAACACTAATTCAGATATATATATATGCATTCTTATGTTCATTGCAGCATTATTTATAAAAGCTGATTTATAGAAACAACCTAAGAGTCCAAAGACAGGTGAATGGAAAGATGTAGTGTATATATGCACAATATATTATTCAACTACTGAAAGGGATGAAATCTTGCTATTTGTGACAAATTTGGGATAGTTTTAGTTGTAAAACTGAAGGGCATTATGCTAAGTGAAATAAGTCAGAAGGAGAAAGACAAATACTGGATAATTTTATTCAGATGTGGAATATAAAGAAAAAAGGAACAGATGCAACCTAATCTGACTGCAGGTCCATGGTTACCAGAGAGGGGACATGGTGGGCCCAATGGACTCTAGTGGAAGATTACTAATGATTTGCTGGTAGCCATGGTGTGATAACATACATTTTAAGAGGGGTAAATGAACCTATCTCCTCACAACATATATTCTTGTACCAGTGTTATCTCAATACATATATTTTAAAGTAAGTTTTAAATTTATGAAATGTCCAGGGAACAGTTCCTCTTTCTTGTATAGAAATATATGTTCTCAGAGCCTGATGCTCCAGTCCACACCTCTGTGAGCCTCTAAATCAACTCAAACTTAACTCCGGGGTAACCCATACTCACCAACACCAAATACTTAGACTGCTTCTACACAGGGACATCCTTACAACAGCTTATAAACTAAATAAAGTAAAAAAAAATACGCTGAAGCACAATACCTAAGATGCCAGCTTAGTGCAGGAATAATTATAAAGAAGAGATTCAGAATCCAAATTCTCTCACCAAACTTTCTCCCAAAATAAATAAATTGACGCCGCAGAAAAGGACGACGTGTGGAAATGCTAATCAAGACAGGAAATGGAGGTGGGAGTGGGAAAGATTACTGGGTCCAGGATTCCAAAGAGGAAGGAGGCAGGGTTGGAATGAAGGATTTGGGAAGCGTGGGTGGGATAGAGCAGAGCAAATGAGGTGGAAGGTTTAGAGGTTGAATGGCGGGGAAGAGACCAATTAAGGGGTGCTGAGGGAAGGGGCCGGACACGGAAAGCTATGTTGTGGAAGAATGAACTAGGAAGAAGACCTAGAAAGACGTGGGGGTAAGGTGAGGGAAACGGTGAAATAGAAGCTGCAGCTGGGATTAGGGAGCAGAGCTCTGGCTGAGTGCCCACCGCGGGATGAGAACGAAGGCGCTCACAGACTGCCAGGGGTCAAAAAACAAAGGATGGGAGCAAGAGGATAAGGCTGGGTGATGGAGGACGAAAGAACTGCAGCGGAGAAAAAGAGTACAGGGTCGGGGCAGAGGACCGGCTCGAAAGGAGAGAAGAAAAACGTGAATGGAGGTGCACTAAGCGGCGAGCCCTGAGGCCGCCCGGAGTTGGGAACAGGTCGGGGTTGGGCGAATAAGTCCTCACCGTGGAGTCCGTAAAGGACGTGCCTGGGAGAAAGGGCAGGCCATGCACGGGGTTGGACACCATCGCAGCTGCTAATGCCACCACCACCCCAGTAGGATTTAGTGCTGCCGGTTACCCGGGCGACCGATCGCGTTCGCAGGCCTCCTAGAGCGCCATGGTAACGCCAAACAGTCTGAGTCCCCACAAGGGAGGGCGGGGCCAGAGGCGCGGGCTTGGTTGTACTGCGCGTGCGTCCCCGGGAACCCCGCGTTCTCTCGCGGTAAGGTGGCGGGGCGAAAGGGGCGCGGTTAGTGGGCGCAACTCTGGCCCCGCCCTCCTGTCCATCTCCACCCTTCTCCTTGGGAGCTGGTGGACTGGGTGGGAGGAAGCGTTTAAGAGGGTGTAGCACCTTCAGACGGATCTTGGGGACGGAGCCCAACCTTAGATGTGTTACAAAGGAAGGGAAGTATTTCTTGCTCCCTCTCACCCCAGTCCTCTTGGGGCCCCACCTACTTTGTGAGCCCAGGCAATCATTTCTCCCGGCCCTGGTGGGAAAATGACTCCTGTTGCATTTCACACTGACGTGCGAATGGTTGGTTCCTGGTGAAAGTGTTCCCATCCCCAGGCCCGAGCTTCTTGGGGGCAGGGGCTGCAGAGTATTTGCATGAGAGTTTGTGATGCTCTGAGGTGTTCAGTGAACAGCTGCAACCTTCTGGTCCCTAATCCCCTTATTGTCTCACTGTCTTTCCAGCTTCACCTTTTATTCTCTACAGCCAGCCCCTGCAGTTCTGCACCATCTGTTTTAGAAGATCGCCTTGGGTAGTCACCTCTGATGATTATATTAACGTGTGTCGGCTGAAGAACTAGAGGGAGCTGAACTCAGTAACCCTAATCTCTAGTTTATACCTATCTACAACTGCAATGAAAAGATCAGATCAAGAAAGAATGGCCGATCCTTCAAAGGGAGCTAAGTCATAACAAAGAAGCAGATATGTGAGCTATTTGTCAGCAGCATCACAGGTATTCGCACCTTTAGTGCTTTTCATAAAATTTATTTAGATAATTATTCTTTAAAAGACATGTAATCCTGTCCCTGGAGCTTTTTTAGGAAAAAAAGAGGAAAGCTATTAATCAGTGCCAAGGAACTTTAAATTAAAAAACAAAAGAAAACCCAGGTGCTCTGAGATTGGGTTCATTAGGTTTGAAATGGAGCTCAGGAATCTGATTTTATACAGCTGTTTCTGATAACCTAATTTCGGGACATGATAAAGCTGCAGACCTCACAGAAGGCATAGCTACATGACATAGGCAGTTTATTACCAATAAAGTCAGCAGCTTACATTTTATTGCTGCTTGTCAGAGCAGATCCCCTTGTTGGGTTTCACTGGTGGGTGTGAAGCTCAGGGGGCCCTTGATGAAAATCCACTAGTGGCACCTGAAGAAGTTATTGGTGGCTGTCTCCCATACTCTGCTCAGAGTTCCCTTTCTAGTATCTCCTCTACCATTTTACTTCTTTTTTCATTGTCTTAAAAAAAAAAAAACAAACATGTTTGTTTTTTGTTATATCACTTTAATGCAGGTGTTCAATACTTTTTTTTTTAGTGATGAATCAGTTAATTTTGAAGTTACGAAAACCCTTCAAAATATCTGTCCATTGAATTTTATCATAGGCACTGATCCAGACTACAAGCCAGCTATTGGGAGAATATTTCGAAATGGTAAGTTCAACCTTCAAAGAGAAGGTGCTTTCACATTTTTGAATCATTGCTAACTATAATCCTTGCCAACTCTTCCTGATAACCTTAAACTCTTACCAGTCATATGATCCCTCCCGCCCCTCTCTTAATAAAAGTAAATCCCAGAGCATTAGGACATACTTGGAAGATCCCTTCTTGACTAACTTTGTGGTTGCACTTGGGCTCTGTTCCCTGGGTTGGGTCAGGTAAGGAAGGAGCCTCGGGTAGGGAGGCCTGGAAAGGGTGAGTCATACCTAACTAAGCCTGTTGTCAATTGTGGCATCTGTTTCTATCTGAGGAGAGCCTTCTGCTCAGATGCCTTTCTTTCCACTAATAGTGTGCTAATTAAATGGTTAACAGAATGTATTTTAATTGCATTCTGTCCCTAGAAATTCATGATGAAGAAAACACCTCTTCTTGGTCTCTAGCCCCATAAAAATGCCATCATCTCTGAGACAGGGAAGCTGTGTAGTGTTGCATTAATTCTAAATAGCACAAGGGGCTATGAAGAAGGGGGGGAGGTGGGGTAAGGAAAAAAAGCCTGACTTTGGACAACCGCTTACACCTTGATAAGATTAAGCATAATTAAGAGTGTATATTCCACTTCTCTCAAACATGACAAGTCAGCCTGGATTGCACTTGTGTAGAATATATAGGAGAGTGCAGAAGCCTGACAATCCTTGACAGCTAAAGTAGAAAGAACCCTGGCTTGAAGTCTGTGCATAAAGCCTGGACTCAAAAGACCACAGAGACATTGCATGACTTTAGCAGGTGTTTCAAAGCTTGAGGAATGGAAAAAACAGAGATCAGACTGCCAGCAGGCCAAGCCCCAAAGAGTGCCTCATGCTGGATGTTGTCTCCTGAGGACCCTTGATGGGAGATGTCACATTGGCAGAGGCTAAGCTGAGCAACAGCCTAAAAAGTACTTTTCTTTTCTTTTTTTTTTTTAAACATTTTTGCCAGAGCTGGCTTTCCCCAGAATTTGTTCTCAATACTGTGACATTCTTCTGTACTAAAGTCACTGGACAAATACCAGCAGGCGTGTATGCACATGCATGTGGTGTGTGTGCATCCTGTCTGTACAGAGTATTTCTGCAGTGATTTGGTGTTCTGTTTCTCTCTGCTGGATACAAAGGGTACTACATAGCCACTGAAAGGCGCCGTTCACACGTGTGGGTTTGAAAGTGCTGGTGTGAGGCTGATGTATGAACATGGGTTTCTGCTTGTCCCTCAGACTAAGTGGTTCATGGCATTCTTTTCCATTATTCCTTGGTTTCTGAAATCTTTTATCTAAAAAGGAGTGACTTTTTATCTAAAGAGGAGTGCACTTTGATCTTTGCAAAGTATGGAAAAAGAGGAACAAAGCATCCACAGTGATTTCCAAGTAGAGTCCGGTACTGATGGACCCACGGGAAATCTTTATTTGGCACAAAAGCACACAATTTGGGATTAGAATATTCTATTCTGGCAGTGGGCTCCTGTTAGGAAGTCGAAAAACTTGTGTTTCTGCTACTTTGCTCTCCCCACCTCCTAACCCATTCGATTACTTTCACTGATTTGGTTGGAATTTGCTACTTTCTGAAAAAAGCCTCTCAAATATGACCCCGTTGAATTAGTTTTCAAAGGACATAAGCTTCATAGCAGCAGGTTCTTTGTTTTGTTCAGTGTCCCTCACAGTGTGTGGTACCTCATACTCAGCAAATGGCTATGCAATAATTGACCAAATCATGAAAAAATTATGAGTAGGAAATTACTCAGTAAATTATTTTTCAAATTATTGGTAGATTCCATGAGTAGACCTTACAATCTGTTTGATTAATGGTGACAATAACAACTTTTTAAAAAAGAAATGGAATAGATATGTTTAAGAATGCTTGAGTAAGACTAACTTTTTAAAATTTTTTTATGTAAAAAATGTTAAATATAGTACTTTTTTCTTACATAATTGTTAATTTTTGGACAATATATGATGGGCAATGTATTTCGCCCATCAACAAAGCACCCATGAACCATCATTGTATCCCTTTATGCTCCCCCATCTCTGCTTTCACCCCCTCTTCCTTCTCTCCTGGATCCTCATATCTTCTCTCCTGGATTCTGAAAAATCTCCAGACTAACAAAGCTTTTAACAGTACAGAGCCTTTCTGTCCCATACAATCAAGAAACAATATTACTGGCACTATAATGGCATTAATATTGATTGCAGTTTTAGGTTCCAAATGTGGACAGGAAGTGAATTCATTCATTTAAGCCAATGGAAACTTTAAAATAATGAGGAAATGCCTTTGATACTTCCTCCCATCACACATCTCACATCATTCTTCCTTTTCCTCTTTCATATATGCAGCAGGGAACAGAAAATGAACCACCAGTTTGGGGGCCTTAAGAGGTATTTGTACTGTCTTGAGTGTGTTATGATATGAACATTTGGAATACCTGGACAACTTAACTGACTTATCTCCCCAAGTCTCCTCCCCGCACTTTTTTTTTTTTAAGATTTATTTGTGCATACAGAGCTGGGGCCAGGCGGGAAGTTGCAGGGGTGGTGAGGGGAGCAGTGGGCGGTTCAGGAGAGATCTTCTGCGCCATGTGGATCATCTCCAGGGCGGGGATCGAACTCATGCTGAAGTGGCTTTAGCTTCTCAGTGCTATGCTTTAACCCTGCATCACCAGGGTGGGCCCCGGGAGGGTCCCTCCTTTTTTTTTAGCCTCTAAAATGAGAAGCCTGGACCAGAATTAATGATCATTAATTGGATAACATAAAATCATTTCAAAAACCTAGTGAAGTTATAGATCCTATCTCCCCCAAATATACATAATTACAAACAGATTCTACTTACAATTTCATGAAGTTAATGAGGGTCTAAGGCCTCATGGTTTCCCGCCTCTGAAATCTTATGGAATGAGATCCTAGTACCCCAAAGGCAGAAAGATATAATAGTTGAAAGTATGATTTATGGGAACCTTCTTGGGGCAGAGGACTCTTCTTTCCAAAAATTAATTTCAAAGAAGGAAAAGAATGGCATGGAAAGGGAACCTAAGGTCGAAAAAATCTTAAATAACGAGTCTGCCTGTCATAATGTGGTATTCTGCTGTATTCTGCTGGTATACACGTAGCAAGTAATGATATTTATGAGATTTCTGGGAATCTGTACTCTGGATATCTGATGATGTTAAGGAATTGTTCTTCACATTTTTAGACATGGTAATAGTATTGTGGTTTTGAGGGGGGAGGGGAAAAGCCATCATCTTTTAAAAAGACATACCCAATAGGAAGTATTGTAGCAAACATGATAAAATGTGTGGGATATGCTTCAAAGTAATATGGGAAGGAACAAATGAGTGGGAATATAGAAGAAATGATTGCTTTATCATTGTTGATGTCCGGTGGGAGTTCATTGTACAGCTCTGTCCACTTTTGTATATATTTGAACAAGCTAAGAAATTGTTTAATGTGTGGACTCTGGAGCTAGACCGCCTAAGTACAAACCCTAATTCTATCACTTATGAACTCTGGGGTCCTGTGGGAGTGTCCTAGCCTTTCCTAAGCTTGTTTATAGTGCTCACAATAGTAAGCATTAAATGAATTTATATATATATATAAGAACTTACAATAGGATCTATCACATTGTACCTGTTTGGTGACTATTTGCGACATGATGTCTCAGATAATCTGTGATATGTAGACAAAGGGTTAAAGAAGGAATGTAGAGGAAAGAAGGAAATTCCCTACCAAAACAGATACAGAATTCCCCACCATTTCCCTGGGAAAATAAAATATATCTTAACTTCTTACGGGCAGAGAGCTTCCACTCTGCTGAGAGGGAGCCCACACAGAGGGGAACATGTTTGTGTGGAACCCAGAGCACCCTGCTTGGTGTGAAGTGATAGAAATAATAGGATTGGATGGCCACTAGCACTTGCTGACTACAAACATTATGCTGAAGTATTTTTCCACAGTAAAATTAATCACATTCCAAGATAATTTGTTCTTGTTTAGAAAAAAAAAAAACATTGAGTGGAAAAGTTTAACTTGCTGACACAGTGGTCTTTGAGAAAAAAATTGTTTAATCTGGAATAACACTCAGATTTACTTTAATGAGAAATGGGGTTTATTTAATTGGTTCTGAAGAGAGGAAGAATTCACTAGTCAAATACAGGGAAATAACTTGAGAGTTGGTGGTTCTTAAGGCTGGCTTGAGTCCTCCAAGTTCTTGTCATTGATTATAGATGGCCTCAGAGACTAATCTTTGTATTAGATACCTGTGGAATTCTAGCACAAAATATACTTAAGCACCTCACCACTGGGGCTGCTTCGAGAGCAACAGGACTTTTGCTTGGTCAATATATTTAGAAATGAAATGAGAACCACATCTTTTTATTTATTTATCAGAGTGATAAAATAAATCACATCCTCCAACCCCATGCTTTTTCTGGTTCACACACTTGGCAATGGGAAGGTTAAAGGACCTTTTTACTTTCACTTCTTGGTGATTAAGCATATGGAATCTGAATTTAAATGTTTGCATTTCTGTGAGATTTCATTACTTAGTAGCCAGGTAGTCTTGGACAAATTTACCTAGTCTGTCCAGTTTCCTCACTTGTAAAATGGGGACAGTAATAGCACGCACCCCCTGGTTTTGTGTGAGGGTTAAATGGCAGAACTTGAGAAAAAACTCAGCTAAAGTCTTGTCAAGGAGTAAGCACTAGAGAATGTAAATTGTTAATATTATTATTCCTGGTTTATAGACTCTTTCCTGGATGTTTCACTGCATTTCTGCACAGAGGATTACCCATAGTACAAACCAGTGTCAGTAGAACAAGGAAACATGCAAAGCCTGTCTGGGAAGTGGATGTCACATTCCAAGCACTGAAACAGGCTCTTTGAGAAGAATCTGAGAAGAGTCCTGCTAGTAGGAGCCTGTATCCCCAGAAATGTACTCTAGAGAGCCAGGCCCACAGCTAATCACTTTGCCATGAGCTCCTTTCATCTAGATTGCAGAATGCAGAATTCACTCTATTTTCTAAAGGTAGAGTAATGTGTAATTAGTAGTTAGTTCCTGTAGGTAAAACAGTCAGCCTGAATTTCCTTGGGTAGAATTTTTCCCTATCATGCTTCTTCCTTAAGTGACAGTAAAAGCCAAAATCTGGGCCCTCCCTGGTGGCATAATGGGTTAAAGCACAGCACTAAGATGCTAAAACCACTTCCGCATGAGCTCAATCCCTGACCTAGAGGTGATCCACATGGCGCAGCAGACCTCTCCTGACCTGCCTGCTGTTCCCCTCAGCAATGTACTTCACCAGTTAGCCTGTTCTGCTCCCCACTCCTCTTACCACCCCTATACCTCTGGCCTGTACCCCAGCTCTGTATGCATAAATAAGTAAATCTTAAAAAAAAAAAAAAAGCCAAAGTCCTTAAAAAGTCTCTCACAAACTGTTCTGCCCTTCTCTGTGCCCCCTGTCTGCTCTTGCTGGCCTTCGGCTATTCCTGCCAGTGCTCTGACCCCAGGGCCTTTGCACCTCCTTCTTCTGCTTGAGAAGCAGCTGGCTCCCTCCCAACTTTCTGTAATTTTCTTCCCTGATCCTGTTCAAAGTTGCACTCCATCTACCCCCCTGGCTTATCCTCCTTCCTTCTCATCACTCCCTTGCACCTTCACCCTCCAACCTGTTGCATAATTTTTTTGGTTCAAATTTTGTCACATTCTGCTCCACTCTACCCCAGAATGTAAGCTCCCTAAAGGCAAGCATTTGTTTTTTCCATTGCTGTTTGCCCCAGTACCTAGTAGTATTTGATGTTTGCGGAGTGATTGTCAGTGAATCCACATACTCATCTGTTCAACAGGCTGGGCCTTGCCTCCAGTAAAGGTCTTTCTAGAAGAGTACTGAGGGCTTGATTCAGAAACATTTCATAAAATTCTTTCAAGATGAGATAATGGATCATTGGCTTTCTTCAAGAGCTCCTATCTCAACCACAGCATCAAATTACCTACATAATGTAATGTCAGAAAGGAGTCTACTGTAACTATGTTGGTATTCTTGTATAATAGGCCAAAGACTGTTGATTTTGTACTTTATAGAATGAAAGGATCAGCTTGCTTAAAATGTTTAGTTCCCGTGTCTGGTTTTCCAGGAAGTTTTATCTGATACTGCTAACCTACCTATATAATAACATTTTGACATAACTTTTTTCTGCTGAGATTAACTTTACTGTTAATCTCAATATTTTCATGCATTTCCTTTAATACACATGTAGAACTTGAAAAGGAATAGCAACTTTTTTTTTAAATTTTCTGCCAAGTCTGCATAGCTCTTCTATAAGGCAGAAAAACATTTTTTTTTTTTTTAAATCACACTGTCAGAATCCATGGGAGAGCCAACTGTTTGAAGAACTAACAATCCCAGTGAAAGACACAAGGGGATTAGATAATCTTTCAAAATCACCAGTAGTAGGTGAGGTTCTCATCCAAGGATTCAAAGTTATTTTCAAGCAGCAACAACTAGACAATGAGATTTGAATGTGTAATCTGAGCCACCAAAGGATCCAGCCAGTGGAACCCTTGAGCATCCAAGAACTTGAGGCCTCAATGCTTTGACACCCAAGGAAATAGTGTCATTTTGAACCCAAAGAAATGCTAAAACACTGGCCACTCCTAAAGAAGTTAGAATGAAAAGTTTAAAATGAGGTTGGGTTGAAGTTTACACACAGTGTAAAATACTTCATACCGCAAAGAATTCTGCAAATATTTGGTGTTGATGTTTCTGATTAAGTGGATCCTGAATTCACCTGAAGGAAAAGGAATTTGAGTTCAAACATTACAACTAGTTGTATGACTGAACCAGTCACTCCACTTTCTCAGCGTGATTTCTAGTTAATGGATATCATTTTGGCTTTTACCCTACATGATTCCTTAGAAACTGAGATGGATATTGAAGGTTTGAGAAAGCATAAAACATGATGAAATCCAAGATGTTCTTCTGTGTAGTCTTTGAGTTGGTTAAAGTTCCAAGTGTCTAATATCCAATGAATATCTCTTTCCATGAGAATCATAGTGGACAAGAACGCCTTTAACTTAGCTGTGGTTCTCAAATTTTCACTATTATTTAAATGAATTCTTTTAAATACTTTTCCTTCCATATTATTTCCATAAATATCCCCTAAGAGAAAGGTGGTTATTTCCTCTATTTGAGTAGTCAGAGCCAACTGAACAAATCAGAGGCCTGTACTCTTGGAATCTAGCATCTCTTCAGGCTTCTCTGTGTCAAAGAAACCCAAGTTTGAAATAACCAGAGGACAGTGAGTAGGATGGAGATGCAGCAGAAGTAGAGAAGGGCTGAGGTCAACCTAGCTATTGGGAGAAATGCTCTAGTCTCTTGGGGAGAAGAGAGACAGCTGAATCCTTTTGAAAACATTCTGGCCCAAAGCAGGTCCCAGCTCCTGTGAGTCTGACCATCCGGCCATCAGGCTCTGATTGGGGACAAGACCAGGAAAGGGGGACCCTGTCATTGTCAGGGTGCAAAGATGCTGGTCCCCTTTTAGTCACCTCCAGCTGTCTCCACCCGGGCTTTAGTTTTCTTCACTACGGTGTCTCTAGTACCAGTGTGGTTCCCGCTGCCAACGGGAGCTCATAAAAACAGCTGAAGCAATCACTGAAGAGAGGTTAAACTATTAACTGACAACACACACATTTGCGAACTGCCTAGGGCCTGTGCTGACACTCCAATTCCTTTGGACAAGAGAATACCCATGATTCTACTGCTGCAGGCTCCCATCAGAGAAATGCTGTTTTCTTGGTTATTGTGAAAATATTACTTCCTGAAGGGCAAGAAACCTCTAGTGAGCTTTTTCTCCAGCTATTTTAACCAAATATGCTACAAAATCCTTTGACAATTTCTACATTTCACAGCATATATGTTACAGTGCGTTAGGGTAAAATTAAAGTGTAACTCATAATTTTTAGATTTCATTAAAGGTTGCCCAAGGTTTCAAAAGTTTGAAATCTCTAACAGTACTGCCCATTAAGTTAGAAATATTTATTCAAACAGATGAAATCCTCAGAGAAATCAGTTCCATAATTTTCTTTTAGACATCATGATTGCATACAAGCAGGGACTTGGGGTGTGTGTGTGTGTATTTTGGGTTCTTGGGTATGGTGATTGGAAGTAGGTGGGTCTTATTTCTTCAAGATTTTATACATTCCTACTCCAAGGTGGATGTGAAGTGTCTTGATACCTTTCTCCTGGCAACGTTTGTCCAGATAAAACTTTTCTTTAGGATGGGCCTTTCAATATTGTCCTTGTTGAGGGCCTTGTCAGAGATAACTATAAACAATACAACAACTCATATACAAAATCTGTTTAATGATCATTCATATAAGTAGATTTATATAAAGAAAATAGTTCCATTTCTTTGTCAAGCAATCAAGCGAAACACTAGGACCAACACAATTAGTGGACTGAGGCCATGCCTTCTTCTAAAGTAAAACACGAGCGCCATCTGGAGGATTTACTTCAAACTACAGTGCAGCAACAGAAGAACCTAACCTTAAGCTTTAAGTTAAGGTAGTTTGTGAACAAGCAAGCAACAACTGACCTTCATTCCATGGCCTGGGTTCCTGCTGTTTTCAGTAGAGGACTGAGAATATTGTTATTGAGTAAGGTTCTTTCAGCCGAGTTGGGGCTGAAACCCTGACATCTGAAAAGCATTAACATTAACTGTTAAGTAAACACAAGTGAGGAAGTACTGGGCATGAGGAAAAGAAGGCAGATAGATATGTCCCCACTCTGCTGTGTCCTGCTGTCTCCCCTCTGCTCCCCTGAGGGCCACACACAACTCCACAGAATTTTCATTCACAAAATGTAAATGATTGATACTTTAGTTCTTTGTAGAGGCATTTATATTTTACTAGGTTGAAAAGACAACCATTTACTTTATTAAATACTTTTTGCTTATTCTTTTTAGATAAACTAGATCTGTTGACATACCTACACCCTCACTGTGACTAACCTGTGTTAAAAGGAGGATTTAACCCCTCAAGAATCTCAGTAGTTAAGACATCTGGATTTTCTGTTTATGTATTTCTAATGAGATACTGGCATTTTTAATGAGAAAGTCTCCAATGTCAATGCTTCTCAAATATCTCTTTAAAAAAAAAAAAATCCAATCACTTCTGGGACCAATACTTGTGTAAAGTAAAACTTTCATGGCAATATCTAAAAGTTTAGTCCCTGCACTGATTGTACCACAGATCGCTGATGCTATGCAGCCGGCCCTGGCCTGGGCATTACACCCAAGCATCACTGCTCTACTTTCTGTTTTCCCCTTAAAAAACAATCACCTGCATTTGGCTTTGTGATCTCTGTCCATCAGGACCACCACAGTTCTATTCAAGAGCTTGACTTCTATTAACCTTTCAACTTTTAAAAGAATATATAAGCTGAATCCACAATAACAAACATTTCAAACACTTTCTAGTCCCCTTTGAAACTTGCAATGTACATGCACAGCTTTCTCATTCTCTTATTTTGATGCAGTTCAATTTTGCTTAGTTTATGTGCCATGAATTTGGCCTGGATACCAGAAGCTTGTGTCAGACATTTGGGTAGCACGCAATTTGGGGATGTTAGGATTCGCCGTGGAAATCCATCCAGGGAACTGACAACACATGCTTTCTTAATACAGATTATAGGGAAATTTCCATTGAGTTATCATTTTCTAGGGTTGGGGGAATATAATTTGAAAAAGTCTTGTTTCAGATAAGCAATTCTGGTTTCTGAAGTTTATCTACTGGTTGGAAAACAAAGAATTCATTTTTCTTCTCCCATAACCCAAACTGAAATTTTCATATGGTCACATATTAAGTGTTCAGACATTTCCATTTATAAGGCACAAAATCTACACATCTCTCAAAGGAAAAAAAAAGATCTTAAGACAAGACAGTATCTAGTAATAGAGGGCATTCATCATATCAGAGTGAAAAAAAAATGACTTCCCTGTTTAGTAAATAGGGACCTTATACTGATAGGAAATGTAGCCTCTGAGAAGGCTTACATGACCCTTCTGTCAACACAGCCTCCTTCACTGGATTAGTGCAGAAGCCAGTCCTCAGACAGGCTGTGTGCAGAACACAGCAGTCACAAACCCCTCTCCCGTAGAAGCTGCTGGCCGGTGATGTTCCAGAGCATTTGGTGCCAGTGTGCCTTCTGACCCAAACGAGACTTACGGGACAGCCCACAGTGAGCACGCTTGTCGTGGGACAAGACTATTTGGAGGTTTCTGCTCTAAGTTGAGGCCCAACTGCCTAAGTGGGGACCCTGAGCCTAGTAGCTATGTGGGTCTTTCATGGGGCAGCATGGACTTTGGGTTCCTCTTAAACAATCGTGTTCATAGAAGGACTCATAGGGCCAATTCACTTCATCAGAAGCTTTTTTGAACATCAAACATTTGGAGAAGATTCTGTGGAGCAAGTTCCATGTCTCCCAGCCTGTCTGGCAGCTCTAACAGATCTCTAGTCAGCCTGCAACCACAGGTCTGAAAGACAAGGGCGGCTTGACACCAACAGCATCTGTATTGGCTGGGCTCCTTCCGGCTCTTGGCACTGCATTTTCTGATACAATTTCTATTGGTTTTAGGAGAGTAACCTTCCTGAATGTCCACGTGAATCCAAGCATTTTCTGGAAGTATAGCTGCTTCATAGTCCTCTAGAGTACCACACAAGGTACAGGCAGGGGCAAACAGCACTGTAAGCAGGCAGATGTCATTCTGAGAACGGGTCAGTGTTAAGAATAGGTGAGAGAGGAGGGACCAGAAATCAAATGAACTGGGTTGTCCAAGGGCTTCACAGAATCATTTTGAAGATTCTGACTTCTCCACCCTGGGCAATCTGAAGTCCAAATGAAATCAGGTCACTGGGTCAACTTCAGTCAATTACCAAATAACAGCATAGTAAGATGTTCATTCTAATACAGTGTGGACCTGCCACCTACTTATTTTCCAGTCCAGTTTTTGTTTATTCCTTCAGCTCTAGGTCTTGTTCCTAGAGACCACAGAATTCTGTGAAATCTTCAGGTGTGAAAATGGTTCTCTTTTACTCAGTGTTCTGTGAATCTTAGCCTAGCCAAGGCTCCTTGCTTTCCTTGGCTAAGGCTTCCTTGTAAGGCTATGATGACAGAGAAAAGGAATACTCCTTTTATCAATGACAATAATAAAAACTCTTGAATTCGTTAGGCTTTCCAATGCCACAGTGACATAGCAGATCCTTGGAAACATGTAGTAATTTAAGCCAACTCTTGAAAACAAAGTCAACTCCTATTCTTACACTGAGTTTTCTCCTCCACGCCTCACCTCACCTGCCAGTTTCAAGAATCCTTCTTGGTCAGTCTGACCTTGACTTTGTGCCTCAGGAGGGCGGCAGTGGCTGCACTGCAGGCAGCCAGGAAGAAGAAGGAGAGACAAGCTGCATAGACAGACAGAGGACCATGTCGCTGCAGGAAAATCTCCTGCCGCCCCTGATAGTCCAGGAGAATGGCCTCCAACTGGGAAAGCGTGCAGACAGACAGGAAGGCATGGAAGATCTGATGCCCGTGGCCCACAATGTCACAGGAACCCGGGAAATACTTCTCAGGAACCGGACAGGAGAAGAAATAGGCGCTGACCAGGAAAAAGAGGATCTGGAGAGTGTGGTACCAGGCTGCCTGCTCCTGGCAGCCAGCCAGATGGCACAGGGCGACACGGTGAGCCACAGGGCTGATGTCTAGGACAAAGGCCAGCCCTGCTGGCACCACCTGACAGATCTTTCTCATGACTGGGTAAGGCCTCCGGTAACGGTACTTGGCATAGCAACAGCCAGCGCAAGATAACCAGCCACAGAAGGCTGCAGCTGGCAAGAAGAAAAGCCAAAACCGCTCATACCAGGCCTGGTCAGAGCTGTAGAAGAAGTGGGCCAAGGCGCTGCCGTACTGATAAATACTCACACCGACATAGTCCACAAAGTAGAAAGTGTAGTGGGAGAGCTCCGACTTGGACTGCAGCAGGTGGGCCAGCAGGCTGCAGGTGAGGTAAGTGATAGAGGACAGAATAAAAAGGAGAAGGGGGAGCGAGTGGGTGGAGGCCCACGGCAAGGCCTCTGCCTCAGCAAAGGCCCAGAATCGCAGGAGGACGGCCAGAGCAGCCAGCAAGTGGGTCCAAACGTTGACCACCTCATTGTGTTTCTGGAAAAGACTGAAGAAGTAGTAGCGCCATTCATGTCCCGTGGGGCGGTAGCCGGTATGGATGTAAGGCTCCCGGAAGAGCTGGGGCACGTCCGTCTCGGGGACGGTGCACGGCATCTTGGGGAGCCCATCCTCCAGGATCTTGGGCAGGCGGCGTAGCTGCTGTCCACTGACAGACAAGGTGCTCAGGCGCTCCAAGATGGCGGTCGTCATGGCTGCGCAGCACGGGGGTGCAACCTACGGAAAGAGCGAGATAGCAAAAATCCAGTGAGAGGGGGAATGAACTCAGATAATGAAGGTGCGATGGTCTTCCTTAACGGATGTGGCTCTCTAGAGCAGTAGCAGAGGCAGGAAGCTGCAGAGAGCTTCTCGGCATCTCAGACTCACCTGTAGGATCAGACTAAGACCCCTTACTGCCCTAATACTCTGAATTTGTCTCTGCTCCCCACCACACTGTGAGGCAAAAATCACATTCTATAAAATGGGGTGTTAGCCACCCTGTTTCGGTGATTCTTAGAAATAGGGCTACTTTGAAGGGCTTTGGGGTTTTCTAGACATTAAAATGCATCAGTAGACACTAATATTATGAAGTATTATATAAAAATTAAAAAATTTTATACTGCAAATTTATATGTAATATAAAAAGGTAAATTGATACAAATGATAAGCCTGCTTTTTCTTTTTTCCAGCACTTTATCTTACATTACCACTGATTTCACTGTTAAGGTAACCATCTGAAATAAGGAATAGTAACTTGAACCCTAAAGACAGGCAACTTAGGCTGGTAAAGATCAGTGCATATTTTAATAGCTAAACAAAATTAACATGTGCCCTAAATTGAACATGAACTCTAATTGCAAAGGTGTGCTTTGTTTATAAATTATGCTCTGGAAAGCAAGTTAATTGTGGACTTGTCTCTCTTGGATAGCTCAATCTATGTGTGATTAATTTCAGACCTCAAAAATACTTAACTTACACTGGGAATTTCTAGTTGGCACATGAGCCAGGTGAAGATAGTAAGCATTTCAAAAAGTGCTTTGTACAAAAGCTGCAAAATTTTATGTGTATAAAGAAATGGACATTCAGCCTATCAACTGTTATCTCCCCTGCAGCTACTCCGAATTCCTCTCTTGAGAAATATTTAAAACTGATTTATCTAAATGGCCTCCTTCAGTCAAAGCCCTTCAGCTAGGAGAAATACAGCAAGTGTTTCTCAAGGCACTACTAGTTTTCATGAAGAAAATGCAATCGTCCTACTCATAGTGAAGCAGGAGCCTTCTCACCATCATCCTGTACATTAAACTTTTTTATTAGAAAAGTAGAACTCCAAAGGAACACCCCCTGCTGAAAAGAGGCACCATTCTATACCCCTGGCCTCCTCAGACAGGAATGCAAAGCCCTCTCAGGACCTGCACATCTTCCGATGCCTGCCCTGCCCCATTGAATTACAGCACTCCCACAATTTGGGGAGCCAGGTTTCAGGGTGTTAAGCCCTTCAAATTCTTGCTGACCACCTCGAATAAACTCCCTGTGAAAAGACATTCTCGGAATTTGACTTTCAGGACAGCTAGCAAAAGAAGTGATTTGGTCATTTACAGTACTTCTTAATCTATATTGCAAGAGAAAAAGGACCTCATCAGGTCTAAAATGTAGGCCATGAAAATTAATAAGATGTGGAAAAAAGATTAGAGACCTGAAGTCAAGCTGGGGTTTGGCTGCTCCCTGGGTATCTCTGGACAAGTAACCTTTCTTTATCCATAAAATGGAAGTGATGACGTCACATATCTTAGGTTGGTTGTGATGGTTAAATGAGACTGTAACAAAGAAAGTGCTTAACACTCTTGCCTGTCCAAGGCAGGTGTCCAGTAAATGTTAAGTACTGCTGCGACATTTATCATCACCAGCAAGACAGTTAGGCTACAGAGCCCAGAAGCTATGTTCCTTGCCTTCAGTGAGGCCAGAGGCTCCTGAGGAAGCAGACAAGTAGGAATCATGACGAACATTGTGTGGCTGGAGATGAACACTGAATTAATGTTCTCTTCAAATACCACCAGGTAGAAGGCAGGAGAGGTGGGATGTGCAGTCTTCTCTGAGTAACGCCTGAGCTAAGTATTTTTTAAAAAAAAAAAGAAAGAAAAATTTTCAAGAGATGAGGAGAGCAAGGCCAAATAGGAGTGGGAGAACCTGGAAAGGCTGAGTGGTTCAGTGAGGTGCTGCCAGAAACGTGAACTCTGGCAGGGAGTCCACCAACAGCCTGGGCTTTGTCACTTGAGACAGGGCTAGTGATAAAAGAGAAGCTGCCTCAAGGCCAGACAAAGGACTTTATGATGAAATGCCGGCAATGTGTTTAAATAAGTGCTTCATTCCAAGCCACACGTTTGTTTTTTGCTAAGGTAACTGCTGGTGTGAGAGGCCAGGAAGGTTTAGGTGTGGAGGTGTGTGCCCCTCTTTGCCTGTATCCACTTCTGCATTGTGCCACTTGCTTAACCAGCACTGACCTGGTCTCCTGCCAAGAACAAGCCTCAACACAGAAACTAACAGAAACTTAGTAAAAGTTGTGGAGGCACTCAGAAAGGCAGAAAGTGGGAGAGAGAAAGAAAATGGTCATCAAAATACTCAATTCATTAAAAAGAAAAAAAGCCAAAGCTAAGTAGTGCTGCTACTTTCAGCCAGCAGAGGGGTCTTAGACTAGGAGTCAAGTTCCAGATAGAGACTCCTCCAACTGATGTGACACTTGGTGACAGAGCACACACAGCATGGGGTACCCCACAGGCTGGGGTACATTGGCTCTAGGAGCTGGTGGACCCACTGCACGGCAGACCCAGGCGCCTAGGGTGACTTTTCAGGTTGTTCTGTTCTTGTTGACTGCAGAGCTGGGCTGGTTGGAGCCCTGGGAAATTAAAGGGCTCTATTCTTTAGACATAGACAAGAGACAACTACTGTCTCTTGTGACAAGGGAACTTGTTAACAAGAGAATCAGATGAAACTATCCTCTGATTTGTGGCTGGCAGAAATAGAGGTCAGTCACTGTATTCACATTAAGTGTGAAAGATTGCTCCTAGTAGGCTCCCAATCCCACCACCACTCTCTGCCATTGTTGCCTAAGATCATGGGTGTTTCCATCACTTCAGGGCACCCAAGTGATCAGAGGCCCTTTGTACACAAGAGTTAAATAGCACAGAACTACACAATTTCTGTTCATCTATGTATCCTCTAAAATAAGGTGCCTAAGTTGCTGGTGCAGGCACAAACCTCTCAGCCTTCCAGCTGGCTGCTCTGAGTTAGGGTTAGGGCCTCTTGTCACTATGCTCTCCTCTATCTGCTGACCAAAAGGTTAGTTTAGACGAGTTCCCTTGCAGAGGGTCAATGCCAGCTCCGTGACAGCTGAAATGTAAATCTTGCTTCTGAATCCTCAGGAACTGGATAAACTCCAGTTAATAATTTTGATCAACCAGAAAATGTTTTCAAGAGTGAGGGTTTCTCTCAATAATATGCCAGGCCATGAACGTCACAGAGGAGCGATAACATAAGACCCTTTACCTCAAACAGCTCACAAGTACAGTTAATCTTTGTGAATCAACAGCCAACACCATACCAGTGCACCTAGTCAAGTGTTAAGAAGAGTGGAGTCCCCTGGGGAAACGCAACATGTTGGCCTGGAGGGCTGGATGGTACTCAGACAAGTGAGGGGGTTAGGCAGAGGTGTGGGGGGAAAGAAGATTCACCAGAGACAGAGTGGGGAGCAGAACAGGCAGATGTCCTGAAATACACTGCTGAGGGGAGCAACGGGAGGGTCAGGAGAGGTCTGCCACGCCATGTGGATCACCTCCTGGGCTGGGTTTGAAGTCACGCTGCAGTGGCTGCAGCTTACTTCACAGTGCTGCACTTTTTAGCCTGTTATGCCGCCAGGGAGTTCATTTTTATCCTTGAAGCTTTTAGCTTGTTCTGTCTGTATCTCACCTGAGCACCACTGGTGCCTCCTCTCGGCTCACATGGCACTCTCCTTCCTGACCTAGCTGTTCCTTTTCTTTTCCCATCTTATAAACTGAGATGTTGGGTGTCCCCCATCTGCCCCTTTTCCACATCCCTAGTACCTCTCCCATGGGTACTTCTCTCACTTCCCTGTATCAGATATTCCCAAACATAAGTCTTTGGCCACATCTTTCCTGAGGTTTGGATTCAGATACCGCAGCTGTTCTAGATTTGTACAAATGACCATCCCATGGCACTTCAAACACCTTTCCGAACTTGGCCCAATCAGTCATCGAGACCTCTTGACTTTATCTTGACATTCCTGGACTCCAGTCAACCTTTCTATGTCTACTGCTCTTCATTCAGGCCTTCCACATAAATTTATGTTAATGATGAAATTACAATTTCACAACTGACCTTTTTTTTTTTTTTTCCAGTGATGGTTCCCTTGCCTCATCCCTAAACCCTCACTTTGTGTTCCAAACCACCTTGGTAATTTTAAAAAATGGGGATCTGATAACTACTCTCCGCCTCAAAATCCCTTAATAAGTGCACTGCTGTTTACTTAGAACACTGACCCTGCGCCCTTTCCATGCAAACAGGTCCTTTGCTGACCTCCTTCCTCTCCTAGCCCCCCCTTCCCGGCCCATGTCCCCTGTGACTCCTGTATGCTACTTTTTGCATGTGGTGACAACCTCCGGCATAGCAGCTCCAGTTCATCAACACTCTGCCTGGGAGCCTGTGCTGCCGCTGCCAAGAAGTCTTTCCTAACCCCCAGGCTGGGATTAGGGTTCTCCCCAGCTCCCTCTCCTCTGGCCTCACCTCCCAGCACACTTCTCTCCTGGCACAATCACTAGTTCACTTGCTCACTTCCCCATCTTGGCCAGTTCCTTTGGGGGCAGACATCGTGTTGATGCCATGGCTAAAATGGTATGTGGCATACAGATCAATCTTACATCTAACATTTATTGAACAAATAGTTCTTTAGGCCCAGAAGAATGGCACCATTTTTTTTTCTTGTTGTGCAGAGTTGAGGGTATAAAGAACAACTTAGGAGGTCTGATTGTTAATATTTACTCCAGTCAATTAGTTGTGTGGCCATGTCCAAGAAAGTCAACTATTCAGTGTCACTTTTCCCCATAATTAAGGATGGGTGGGAGAAGGTAATTTTCTTTCTACCTATCAGGAGAAAGGAAAATAAATAACAATAAAATGTGCAATAGCTAAGTAGTACTTTAAAGATTCAGAACATGTGTATCAAAGTA